GGTGTATGGGACGATGCTTCCACCAACTGAGCCACACTGCCCAAGGCTCAACCAATTTTAAGTGTACAATTCCATAGTGTTAAATGTATTGGCAACAGATCACCAAAACTTTTTCATCTTGCAAAACTGAGACTCTATACTGAATAAACAGCAACTCCCCATTTTCCCTCCCTCAGCCCTGAAGGCCACCATTCCACTTTCTGTTTGTATGAGATTAACTACTTAAGCACCTCGTATAAGTGGAATCATAAAGTATTTATCTTTTTGTGACTGGTTTATTTCACTTAACGTAATTTCCTCAAGGTCCATTCCTGCTGTAGCATGTGACAGGAGTTCCTTCCTTTTTAAGGATGAATAATACACCACTGTCCAGGATGGGCAAAAGTAGGTTAAATTACCAGCATCAAGGATACAAAATAATAATGACAAATACAAATAATAAATAAATAATAATACAAGAATAAACTCTGTTTTGTATACTCTACAAATGTAAACCTATTTTTGCCCATCGGTTCCCAGCACACCCCAATATACCCTGAGGGGCCAGATTATTATGATCTCTGAATGCATAATAATCTGGCCACTCAGTGTATATCCTGTATAATAAAACGCTAATATGCAAATTGTCCCCTTGATCAGGAGTTCAACCAGCAGGCAGGCCAGCCAACTGCCCATGTCCCCTCCCCCTGGCCAGGCTGCTGGACCCCACCAGTGCACGAATTCATGCACTGGCTCAGTGGAAAGGTTATATACACACACACTGAGTGGCCAGATTATTCGTTCAGAGATCCTAATAATCTGGCCATTCAGTGTATATTTATAAATTAGGAGTTTAAAAAGTTATAGATCTCTTTTGACCTTATCTGCCAGATTGTCCCTCTCTGAATTAGGAAATATACATCCTTAAGAAATCATGATATTTGGGTTAGCCTCTCAATTTTTCCAGGCCTCTCAGGTGAAAAACACACCCTATTTGAAAATCTAGCTTCTTCAAAATTCTTGGTAAAATTTTGGATCAACTTCCTACCCAGGGCTATCCTTTCTGCTTCTAACAGAAGTCGTAGCTCATTCAGAGAAGAATTTTATTCTGGTTGCAAATTGTTGAATCATATACAAAAATCTCAACCGGTCCTTAAAATATTCACAGCTATCCCTAGGAGTTTCTAATTGGTATATGTCTTTTCCAGACCATCAGCCTCGGGCCCGTAATACTACCTGTTTTTATGCCTCAAATCTGAGCCTAAACCAAAATCCCTCAGAAGCTACTGCCTATGAAAACGTTCCCGATTTCCAGCCAGCGTTAGGGGCAATGCATGCATATCCCCAGGGTGGAGGCGACAGCAGGGCTAGTCAGAGGAAACTAAGACCCAGAAAGAAGAGTCATTCCCTCAATAAAGTCACCAGGTCTCCAAAAAGTAGAGGGCTCATTTGATGCCACACTTCTTTTTCCTCACGAACGTTCATTTTCTTAGATGCTTCCTGATGTTTACTTTCCTGTTTACTGAATGTGAAAATAATCACATTGCTGAAAATCCTTGTAATACATGCTTGGATGCCTTAAGTAAAAGGCTCTGTATTAATACACTTCTAGAGTTCAACTCTAGATCTAGGACCGGGTGGCCAACTTCTTCCGAAAGTGCTTCCAGGCTCCTCTAAATGACTCTTCAGACTTGAGAATAAGAGCCTTTCTAGTGGAGGAAAAACCGCTGAACTTCTCTTTAGGTCAGTGCCACTGAGTCCCCCCCCCCCCCTCCCCCCCCCCACCCTCAAGCCCCTGGTAGACCACCACTTTTTTTTGTGTTCAGTGGGATTAAGGTGTTTTGGATTAAAACAACATAAACACAAACAGCTATATATACACAACAACAAAAGTGACTTTAACATAGAGTTCAAGGTGAAGGTTTTAGGCAGAAATGATAGAGACAATAAGCCTTGATACACTCTAGGAAAAGAGTATTTGCCCAGGTATAGCCCAGAATTGTGACTCTTATGACACAGCACGTCTGGAATAATCGGAATGACTAACATTACAGTCTATTATTTCAGAAAGGTTATAAAAAAAAAAAAAAAAAAAAAGAAAAGAAAAAGACACACCCACCTTTGGCCTCACACCATGTGTAATGTGGGTGAGGTAGTAAACTTGTGAGAATGTTCGCTTCTGCATTTCCTGATTCAGGAAGAGAGGTGGGTGGAGGGTCTAAAATGTCCTATGCCTGTTAGTGATTCTGTAAGTGCTTGATCTAGTACTGATTTCTTGGGCAAAAGAGAAGTGGTCAAAAGTTACCGATCTGCCGAGACCAGTTTGGTTCAATGGATGGAGCATCGGCTTGGGGATTGAAGTGTCCCGGGTTTGATTCCAGTCAAGGGCATGTACCTTGGTTGCAGGCATATCCCCAGTAGGGGGTGTACAAGAGGCAGCTGATCGATGACCCTCTCTCTCATCGATGTTTCTAACTATCTCTCTCCCTTCCTCTCTGTACAAAATCAATAAAATATATTAAAAAAAAAAAAAGTTACCAATCTGCCCTAGCACTATCCACTGCCGGTTTGCTCAGTGGATAGTGCGTCTGCCTGCAGACTGAAGGGTCCGGGGTTTGATTCTGATCAAGGGTACATGCCTAGGTTGCAGGCTTGATCTCCAGTCAGGAGGGGGGGGTGTGTGCAGGAAGCAGCCAATCAATGATTCTCATCATTGATGTTTCTGTCTTTCCCTCCCCCTTCCTCTCTGAAATCAATCAATATTGATTGATTTCAGAGAGGAAAATCTTATATGCTGAGTACAAAACACATTCAAATTCTTTTCAGGTCCTCAAAGAATCAATAAAACCATTTTCCTTTTTGATAACTAAATTGGGTTGTCTTGTATCTTGAACCCATAAATTCATAAAAAAATATATAGAGGGTCATTTTCTCTGATTCAAAAATTCTTGATTTGGGGTACTTAACACAAATCTCTGAAATCCTATCCTCTGTGTGGGCATTTAAGACCCAGGAGCCACATTTTTAGAATAGAACATTGCAATCTTGGATCCATAAAACACAGTTTATAAACTAACAGACATATGCTACAGCACCTTCATCAATCCCAATAGTCGCTCTGGCTTATAAAGAAGTAAATCTGTGTTAGCACATACAGATATATTGACTATCGGCATAATTGGGCCATACAGTTTATATACAGTTTAAGAGGCTGATGAGAAAGAAATGGTCATAAAACAAGGCTGTTCCTTCTGACGACAAAGCGGCTGAGTGTGTGCCTGGGCATGGGGAGCACCCGCCGGCTCAGAGCTGGCAGCAAGAGCAGAGGGTAGGGAAGTTTTGCACAGCGCACTGAGGAGCCACGCACAGCGGGGCAGGAAACCCGGTGCTGTGAGGAAGCGGCAGTAAATAAGCTTAGAATGGGGGCTGGAGAGGCTAAGCGTCCAGAAGGTATGAATAAGTAGAGCTGAGTTTCTCCATAATTTAGGGCAAAGACTAGAGAGAAAGGAATCGTAAACTACTCCATTGGGGAGAACTGAAGGTGTGATAACAGAGACGTGTTAAGGGGCATTAGAGACAGTAAAAAAAAAAAAAAAAAAAAAAAAAAAAAGGGAAAGGGAGTCCGGGCGTTGACTACTGAGACTACTGAGACTACTGAGCATTACTCCCGGGAGGAGGGTCTGCCGGGATAATAAGGGGAGGAGGTGTGAAGCAGGGCCAGGAATTGTCGGGCGGACTATGGACTAGGCTGTGCAGACGTCAGCAGCCGAGGGAAGAGCAGGGGGGCCGGTGCGCGGCCCAGAGAGGGACCGGCTCCCGCGCGGCGGTGGGGCGGCGGGGAGGGCTCTGCCGACAGACAGCAGCTCCCCGGCGGGGCCTACAGGGTTAACGCTCCAGCCGCGACCAGAGGCAGGACTCGGTTTCCAGGGCAACGGCCCCGGCAGTTCCGGCAGCGCAGGCCGTACCACCGCGCGGCGCGCGGGGGGAGGCGAGGAGGAGGCCCGGCGCCCGGCGGTGCCGCCGAGCTCCGTCCCGGGCGCTACCACCGCGCGGCCCGCCTGCTCGCCCGGCTCTGCGCCGAGACGCGCTCCGGCCGCCCGGCCGCCGCGTCCTCCTTGCCGGGCCTGCGGCTCCCAGCTGCCCGCGGACGGCGGGGGAAGGACCGCGCGCCCGTGGCCCGGAGCGGCCTCCTGGTCCCCCCGCCTGGGCGGCGGAGTGCGGGCGGCCCGGGCTGGGAGCTTTGAAAAGCGGACGGAGACAAAGGCAGCAGGAAGCCTCCCGGCACCCGGAGCCCCAGCGCGCAGCCCCCGGGCCCGCACGGCGCCGGCCCGGAGCGGGGGCGGCCGTGGCCGTGGCCGTGGCCGCGGCGGGAGGCGGAGGATGCGGCAGGGGGCGTGGGAGCGGCGGCGGCGCGGGCGGAGCGGCGCGGCCCCGGCGCGGCGTGGGTAGAGCCCCGGCGGCGGCGCGGCGGCCCGGCCGGCCCGGGAGTGAGTGAGGGCGCCTTCCCCGCCCGGGATGTGAGGACCGAGCGGAGCCCGGGGCGGGGGGAGGGACGGGAAGGGAGGCGAAGCCGGCAGGAAGGAAGGCAGGCAGGAAGGAAGGACGGACCAGGAGGAGGAGCGGCGGCGGCGGCAGGAGCCGGAAGGCGGGGAGGGGCCGTCCGTTGGGCCCCAGGCGGCGGCGGCGGCGGCGGCGGTCGGGGCGAACCGCGCTCGTCGCCTCCTCCCCCCCGGCTCCGCGGCGGGGGGAGGAGGAAGATGGAGACCCACATCTCGTGCTTGTTCCCCGAGCTGCTGGCCATGATCTTTGGCTACCTGGACGTCAGGGACAAGGGGCGCGCGGCGCAGGTGTGTGCGGCCTGGCGGGACGCCGCCTACCACAAGTCGGTGTGGCGGGGGGTGGAGGCCAAGCTGCACCTGCGCCGGGCCAACCCGTCGCTGTTCCCCAGCCTGCAGGCCCGGGGCATCCGCCGGGTGCAGATCCTGAGCCTCCGCCGCAGCCTCAGCTACGTGATCCAGGGCATGGCCAACATCGAGAGCCTCAACCTGAGCGGCTGCTACAACCTCACAGACAACGGGCTGGGCCACGCGTTCGTGCAGGAGATCGGCTCCTTGCGGGCCCTCAACCTGAGCCTCTGCAAGCAGATCACCGACAGCAGCCTGGGCCGCATCGCCCAGTACCTCAAGGGCCTGGAGGTGCTGGAGCTGGGCGGCTGCAGCAACATCACCAACACCGGCCTGCTGCTCATCGCCTGGGGCCTGCAGCGCCTCAAGAGCCTTAACCTCCGCAGCTGCCGCCACCTCTCGGACGTGGGCATCGGGCATCTGGCCGGCATGACGCGCAGCGCGGCCGAGGGCTGCCTGGGCCTGGAGCAGCTCACGCTGCAGGACTGCCAGAAGCTCACCGATCTGTCCCTGAAGCACATCTCCCGGGGCCTGACGGGCCTGAGGCTCCTCAACCTCAGCTTCTGCGGGGGAATCTCGGACGCGGGCCTCCTGCACCTGTCGCACATGGGCAGCCTTCGCAGCCTTAACCTGCGCTCCTGCGACAACATCAGTGACACGGGCATCATGCATCTGGCCATGGGCAGCCTGCGCCTCTCGGGGCTGGACGTGTCGTTCTGCGACAAGGTGGGGGACCAGAGTCTGGCTTACATAGCGCAGGGGCTGGACGGCCTCAAGTCTCTCTCCCTCTGCTCCTGCCACATCAGTGACGACGGCATCAACCGCATGGTGCGGCAGATGCACGGGCTGCGCACGCTCAACATAGGGCAGTGTGTGCGCATCACCGACAAGGGCCTGGAGCTGATCGCCGAGCACCTGAGCCAGCTCACCGGCATAGACCTGTACGGCTGCACCCGCATCACCAAGCGCGGCCTGGAGCGCATCACACAGCTGCCCTGCCTCAAGGTACTCAACCTGGGACTCTGGCAGATGACGGACAGTGAGAAGGTCAGGTGAGGGTGGCAGCATCAACTCCCCTTGTCCCCTCTCCATCATCCTGTCACCACCACCCTCCCTGCACTCTCAACGCCACATGCGCCCTTATGCGTAGGTCATTGCAGTGGATGAGATGGGACAGTGACACGAAGCCTCAGGCTCATTTTCTCCCCCCTCCAGCACCCCTGCCCGCTTACATGCCCATTCATTGCTTCTGGGGGTTCCTCTGCTACCCCTCCCGTACTACCCTCTTTTCCCTTGAGGATGAAGAGAGAGACTCAGCTACTTACCTATCCACTTCTCTCTACTGTGGGGAATGGAGGGGCCGATGGAGCTACTGTATCCCCACTGCGTTGCATTTCAAAATGGGGTGGGGGTGGGGAGTAACTAGTCCTTTGGCCCTGGGGAGTTGAAGAAAATGTCTGCCTTCACTTAAGCTTTCATTTGAATACTGTGATCTGGTTTTTATTTTGAAATGTATGAAATCAAACCCAACTACAACGGCCTTTTCACCCTTCTTCCACTTTGTAGCTAATCCCAGTTTCTTCTCATCATTTCTCTTTTTACAGTACTCTGCTGTTCATGCTCATTTCATTTTTTATTGCCTTTTTTTTTTTTTCATTTTTTAAGAGATTTGAAATCATGGTCCTTTTTTTCTGCTGAATATATTCTATATATTATATATATATAAATTTTATATATATATATATGTCTGGCTACCTCGTTTTAGTTTACTTTTTTCTCTGAAGCCCTGGAATTCTACAAGAGAGATATTTTGAGACTAAAACATTTTTGTGCCTAGACTGGAAAGATGCCCATTGGGTTTGTGTCTTTTGTTTTGGTTTCTTCCCCACCCCATCCATCCAGTATGTCCCACTTCCACATTTTGGCTATAATCATTTTTCTCCTTGTCCATTGGGATTTGAGAGCCCAACAACGTTCCTAAATCTTGACTTAATTTATAGCACAAATGTGTGGGAAAAAGGAGAGTTGGACTGTTTTGTTTGAGATGCAGATTGTCTTGAAAATTATTATTATATATGCAAATTCCGCCCTACCCTCACCCTCTTCCAAGTTTCCTCACAAAAAGGGTCACACAGTGAGCTTCCTGTTGGAAGCAGAGGAGCAGAGCTGCCCACAGAGCCCTGGACTGTAATGTGAAGGGGAGGAGACTGAAATTCATGTCTTATCTCTGTTCTGTTAATAAAATGGGAGCTTGTGGGTTTTAAAAATTGTTTCTAAATGGAGGAGTAGATGATTTTATTTTGGTGAGGGTTGGAACTTGTGGCTTTAAAAAAAAATCGCTTTTCAGTAGGATGTATATTTTTGTTGGATTTTTTTGTTTGTTTGTTTGTTTTTAGAATCCTCCACAGCAACATTTGAGACCATGGAGTTAAAAGAAACCCAGAGACCTTTATCAATTAATTGTACTGTTTGTGAATTTGTATAAATAACAAAGATCCTCTTAAAACGTTTATATTCTTACAGTAAAAGGTTAAACTGATATTTATATAATAAAAGAGGAAATATGAAGTATGTTTTTGAAAAAAAGAAAAAAAAATTGTAGCTGTGAATTATTTTGAAGGCAGTGTGTTTGGGTACATGCCAAAGTCGGAGGTGCTGTTTGTGTGCTTTCAAGTAAAAGGAAATAAGACATAGAGGTCGGAGCGTCCTATGTGCTATGAGTAAGCTCATGGTTAAAACGTATTCTGTATAAGGTTTACTACTGACATCTAAATGTTTTGTTTTTAGAAATATGGTGAGATTGGAGATTTATATAATTTGGTTTTCAACTGTCAACAAAATGGAAATTTACAGAAACTGAACAAATGAAACTTTTTAAAAAACCAGATTTGTAAGAGTCACAGTTTCCTCAGAGTAGCCAGTTTTTCTTTGGATGGAAATTACATCTAGGGGTAATGTTCAAAAAACAGGTCGTAAGATATGGAAGTGGGGAAGAAAGATGGGTTTCTTTACACTCTGAGTGGGCGTGGGGAGGATGTGAAATGGTGAAGGCTGAAGGGAACTGAAGCCATTGTTCAGAAAAGTTAAAAGAGGGCTGTCCCTGCTTCCTCGCTGGCTGGCTCAGTCATGCATACTGAATCTCAGTGTGAGTGAGGGTCCCAGGGAGAGGAGGAGGGCAGCACAGCCTCTCTAACATGCTCCTCCAGGCCTGGCTGTATTGGCGCACTTTGCTGGGGGATGGGGAGGTTGGCCAGGAGTTCCTGCACATTTGCATTTTAAGCACTTCCAACGCTGAGTGTGAGGGTTCTTGACTATTTAGGGGCAGATAAGTGAAAACCAACTATTTTAGCAAAGCGTTCCCTTTGATAGACAGTAACTAATCTGACATTCTGTGGTTGGGCTTTGGAGATGGAAGAATATAAATGCTGCTCAAACAGTGAAGTAATTTATATTCCTGGTTCACATAGATCTTTCATAGTTGTTTCTGAAAAAAATTTTTAAACAAAAAGTACCGATTCCAGCAACAGCTGATAAGAGTGGTATAAAACTTCCCTGGATAAGCACCTCTTTCCAGGAAGAGAGCTAGAACCCGGTCTCTCTTGGATAAGGTTGCTCTGTACAATGTCCAAGCCTTCCGCTTGAGCATATCACAAAAGCTGCATTGTTCCTTTCTGAGGAGCCATCATAATTGGGTCTAATTGAGCCTGACACTGAATCCATCTTCCTTTTCTTTGGGAAGGTGTGGCTCTCCTCCCTTTTCACTTACTGCCTGGAGGGTAGGGGGAGGGTGAACCCTAGTCCGAAGTAGGGGTTTTGAGTTAGGGTCAGTTTTCTCATTTAGCATTTGACACTACTACACATGAAGGTCACATAAACTGTAGGTTCTTCAACTGGTTTTCTTTTTCCAAGACACTGCATGGCTGTACAGATTGTCAATAAAAACTGGGGCACCTTCTAAGTCCTAGGCTCTGTGCTCACAGTCTTCATTTTAATATCCCACATAATCCTACCAAACTGTAACCAGAAGGGTTTTATGTTCTCTGTTTTGTTTGGTTTTTACTTTAAAGGTTAAACACAAGCTTGACAAAAGGTTGGCAAATTAACGCTTGGAAGTTAAAGATCATGAGCCTAGTGTCCTCATCCTGAACGAGGCATACCTAATACATTTGGAGTGTCTCTGGAAAAGGTGAATAAACCACTTTCACAGTCAAGGTTAATTTATCTCTCAACCTTTTTGGATAGAAGAAAAGGAATGTGTGTTAAGAAACTATAGTGTGCTTTGCATGGTACTTCTTTTAGTCCTCAAAGCAACCTGTGAAGGAGGTATGCTATTTTCCAATGAAGTATACTGTTCCCCTTAAGTCACCCCACTACTGGTTGAGGGGAGCCAGAACTCAGACCAGGCCCATTTCTGAAGTCACCTCCCTTCTGCTCATTGAGGAGGTGGTCATTATCGGACCTGGGTTCCTAGCAGGAAACCTCACAGGAGGGGAAGCTGTTTAAATGGTGTGGACATGCTTATGCCGCAGGACGGGGTTCAATCTCCACCAAACCTACAAGCAGGGAAGACGCTCCTAAAGAATAGATGCACTAAAGAAAATTGACACTTATTTTGTGGGTGGTACAAAACTTAAAAGTCAAGGGTAATTTTAAGAATAACAGAAAAAACCTGGTCCAGGTATTTGCTAAAACTTCAGAACTGAAAAACCAAAATAGGAAGTCTGTAAACTTGATCATCTAATATTAATAAACCTCAAGATAAACTCTCTGAAGTTAAGACAGGGTTCCACATACCTTTCTTTTCTCAGTCTCATCGGGCAGTAGCCCTGTAAGGCCTGTACTGAAGAGATTATTTACAAATGTAACAGTGGGGTTCAGAGTTTCTCAGCCCCTAAGGACCACGGTGGGCCTCTGGCTGAGAGCTGGGCGGGTTACATAATTCCCTCAGCTATGACTCCTTCCTGCTGAATTCCTCAGGCCTCAGGCGGGGGAGGGCCCACTTGATTGATTCCACATTTGCTAACAGGGACAAGGATGCTTGCCTAACTCAGTATATCCTGATCATATTCTTTCATGATTTAAATAACAACAAGGACCTGACGAAGCAAATGTTCCTTTTAATGGAATTTCTTTATAAAGGTAAGAACTCTCTTCAGTAAGGACACATGATACATAAATTAAAGACTGGCTTTTACCCAAATCCTCCTGCTTCCTGCAGTGATTACTAGGTAGATGCTGGTCTTGGGACGGAAAACCTTTCACTTGGTCTTACAGAAGGCCCCTACCCTCACCCCAGGTTTTCAAAGGGGTGAGGGAAGGGGCCTCCAGGGCCACTGTTTCCAAAGTATGAGAGTCTATTGAGTAAAACATCCGATTAGCGAGACAAAACCAAGACCTCAGATAGCTCCTGACAATCCGCCTTTCCCGGTCTCAGAGCCCCTGGCTGCCCTGCTGTGGACAGGCTGCTGTCTTTCTCTTCCCTGCACCAAACATGGCTGGCTCCCTTTTAAAGTTAATTACATCCCTTTACTAGAGGGCAAGACCTAAATTTTGTGCCACTGTGAACCCCTGAGGAGTCAGGGGTGAGGCTTTTTATTATTAAATAATGTGTATCATGTGTAAAGCACAAGATTCAGAATTGGGAAAAAGCTACATTTAAACTTAAGCTGATGCTTAGACCACACATCTCACTTTCATCCACATATGTGTTCAAATGTTAGGTAGCAAATTAAATCTTTTGAAAAACAATGTTATGAAACATCCATACCTGGGTCAGCACCAACTCTTAATAATTTAGACCTTATCAAAGGTAAGTGCACACTCAGACTAAGACCATATGTATACTCTCACACTTGGGTAAAAAAAAAAAAAAAAAAAAGGGATATTTTTAGACAACTGGCGAATTTAAATGCCACATGGTCAGTTTCAGTCTTTTTCTCTTTTCCAAGGACTGCTCTGATTTCCAAGGGCCTGTACCTGCTCAGCACATGTGGGCTCTGGAAAGCCAAGTCTCCTAGGCTGGGTGCATGGGAAAGTGAGCCGAGATCTCAACTGCG